AAGTGGGCTTCCGGCAAACTTCCTTCCCCTTCCCTGCTGGGAGGAAGGGGTCTCATCAACTCCCTCCCTTCTGCTGACTGCCAGTCCCTCGGTGGATGGGCAGGTGGGCCTGCACTGAACACAAAGGCAGGGGGACAATAGGGGCATTTCAGGCCCTGGCGTTGGTCAAGCTGGGGACTTCTTGGGGCTCCTCTTATCACATCAGGGAAACCCTGCCTGATCTCAAAGAGGAGGGAAGGCCTGGACACTTGGGCCATTCCCACTTCCTCCCCCAAGCCCCTGCACACACCCCTGCCTACCTCCACATGGAGACACACCCTGGGCATTTGGGGAAGGGAAATCTGGAAGGAGTTCAGAGAGAAGCCAGCACCCGGCTAAAGGGCTGAGGGGGAGGAGGAAGGGCTGGGTGCTGCGCTCACCCATGGAAGCTCCCATGTTGGACAGGGCTGCAGCTGCGCTCCTGGGCCAGTGGCCACTGGTCATTTACTTCCGGTGCTCAGCCTTGTGGGGGAGGGCCCCAGCACCAGCAGACACACTGGCCCCAACGGCCACTCTAAGGAGCCTGGGCTCAGCTGGCGGAAGGAGGCTGGTGGCCCCGTGGCCCCGGTGGCCTTGCCCTGAGAACTATTGCCATTGTGCTTCCAGCGTGTTTACCCCAAACCTTCCTTCCTCTCGCTGCCAGGAGTCCGGAAAGCTTGGCTCCCTGGGCTCCCAGGAGGGGGTGGTGGCGTGCATTTGAACAGGGAGTGACTTCACCGCTCATGAAAGCCTCAAAGCCACGGGCACATGGGGTCAGCAGGAGGGAAAGCTTGTGCACCTCTTCTGGGGAGAGCTTAGCGATGTGGCTCCCAGACCTTGAAGACGTACATGCTTCCGACCCAGCAATCTACTGCTGGGAAGCGACCCTCAAGGAAATAATGGAAAGTTCCCAAGAGGCGTATGCCTAAGGACGCTTCTCTCAGCCTTGCTTACAAGCGCTCCCGCCAATGGGAGATGGTGCATTCACACAGTGGAGAGCCTGGCAGCTACCTGCACAGCAACGGAATGATCGGCAAGGCTGCCATGAACGTTCTGGAACATGTCTTTGGGCAGACATAAGCACACCTTTCTCTTGGGTTTATACCCAGGATGGGATGCTGGCTCAAAGGATATGTGTATGTACAACCTGAGTTGATGTTGCTGAACAGGGAAGGAAGGTTCTAACATGTTCTACCACCACCAGCAGTGGCTGGGAGCCCCACTTGTTCTGCCCACCTTTACCGACACTTAGTACTGTCAGCCTGCTTCTTTTAGGCTTTTCTAATGAATATGGAAAGGTGTTTCACTGCGGTTTTAATCTGCATTTCTAAATATATGTCAACAGAAAAATGGATAACAAAGAGTGATATGTTTGTAAGGTAGAAATACACATAGCAATTAAAAAGAATGAACTACAACTACATGGGTGAAGCTCAAAAAAACATTATGTGGAGTGAAAGAAGCCAAATACAAAAGAGTACATGCTGTATGATTCCATTTTTTTTTTTTTAAGATTTTGTTTATTTATTTGAGAGAGAGAGAGAGAGCACAAGCAAGGTGAGGAGCAGAGGGAGAAGGAGACTCCCAGCTGAGCAGGGAGCTTGGTGCTGGACTCGATCCCGGAACTCTGGGATCATGACCTGAGTCGACGGCTGACACCCAACCGACTGAGCCACCCAGGCGCCCCAATAGGATTCCTTCCATTTAGATGAAATTCCAAAACAGGCAAAATGAATCTAGGGTGATAGAGATCAGAACATTTGCCTATGGTGGGGGGGGATGGTATTGACTGGGATGGAAATGAGGAAGCATTCCGGGTGCTCAAAATGTTCAATACCTTGACCTAGGTAGTGGTTAAATACATGTCTACATATGTAAATTTTTATCAAGCTTAGTTTCTTTGCATTTTGTTGTATCTAACATATATTGAAAATTAAAACAAAGTATTTACCAAGAAAATAAATAAATAACAGATCTGTATCATCCTGGAATTACATTCAAAGTATATTAAGTGTAAAAAGCAGGTTGCAAAATTCTACGGACCTTTAGGGCTTCCCTCCTACACTTTTCCTTGGAGAAAGTCTAGTGAATCTCATTTTAAGCTAACATAAAATGTGGGGGTTATACAGAATAATAATAGTCTTTGAAAAGGATTCAAAGTACATAGGAACCATTATATAGAGATAAGAAATAACTCAATTGTACATTGATGAGGAAACCAAATATTATAGTTTTCAGCACCGTATTTTGAAGGGCTGAAGAAACATGCTGTGTCCAGAGGGCCATGATAAGGCTGGAAAATCTGTAAATTATATGAAATGGAAACGGTTAAAGAAATTTGGGGTATTTCCTTCCCTCCCTCTCTCTCCCCTCCCCCTCCCTCCTTCCTTCCTTCCTTCTTTCCTTCCTTCCTTCCTTCCTTCCTTCCTTCCTTCCTTCCTTCCTTCCTTCTCCTCCTCCTCCTCTTCCTCCTCTTCCTCATCCTCCAGGCAGTTCTAGCAGGAAAACTTGTTTCTTGCTCTCTTTTCTGTGGATGAGATTCTTGGCAGGAAGAGGAAGGATAGAATTTAAACTCAGGTTGGGGTCCTGGTCCTGACCCTGCCACTTAGTGGAAGGGTGACCTTGGGACAATCACTTGTCCTCTCTGAGCCATAGATTCATCACCTGCAAAATGGGGATGATAACGCCTGCCATGCTAGATTGCTGGCAGAATCAACGAGGCAAATGACTGGAAATATGTTGGTAAATGGCCAAAGAACCACGACCCCTCTGAAGTAGGACTGCCCTTGCTGTGGTGGAGACACAACAGACTTTCATGTCAGGCGCCCATGGGTATGAGTCCCAAGTCCCACACTTGCTGTGTGGCCCCAGGCATGGGGTTTAACCTTTCTGAGCCCTGGCGAGTTTGTCTTTAAAACAATGATGGAGGGGCTCCTGGGTGGCTCAGTTGGTTGAGCATCTGCCTTTGGCTCAGGGTCCTGGGATCAAGCCCCGCGTCCGGCTCCTTGCTTAGCCTGCTACTCCCTCTTCCTCTGCCCCTCCCACTTACTTATGCTCATGCACACTCTCTCAAATAAATAAATAGAATCTTAAAAAAAAAAACAAAACTGATGGAGACAGTGTCTGACATAAAGCTGCTGTGAAGATAAAAGGAGATCACGTTTATAAAGTAAGTAGGGTTGTAAGTGCCTGGATAGAGGAAATGCTCAGAAAACAAAGCAACAGCAAACAGAAACCCACAGAATACTCCTAGATCCTTCTTATCCTGTTATTGTTCCCCACAGGACTGCACTGAGCCCCTCAGGGTAGAAACGGGGAGCAGGCCCTGAGGCCAGGAGCTCATCCTTCCCTTCTGGGGTGGGAATGGTGGTGCCTGTTCTTGCCAGTCCGCCTGCCCCGACATGGTCCGGGGTCTGCAATGAGTTCACCTGAGTCACCAAGCCTCATCCTGGTGAGGCTGGGTCCCGAGAGAGAGAGGACAGTGCCTATCAAGTATTTCATTATGGGTCAAGGCTCCTATAGGGCCAGGAATGCCTGGAGAGTCTCTGGAACCCAAGTGCAGAGAGTCTGAACCAGGGTTCAGGGCTCTGGGGGGAATGGTCCAGGAGAGGGGCTCTGGAGTGGGCTCACCACCCCTGACTTGCCCAAGGGAAGTGCAACAGGGAGTGGTGAGCAGTGAGATGCGGGACCCCAGGCAGGAAGCATCTCCAGCCAGTCCCCATTGGGAAGTCCACTGAGCCACCTACCATGCCCCCAGCACTGTGGTATTTAGGGTAGAGGGTTGGACAAAATGATGGCCCTCAACTTAGGAAAATCTCTGCCTTGGATGAGGACAGACAGAGACGTGCATTAATAGGTGTAAGGATGACCATATGACCGCCGACATTAGCATGCCAGGTGCACCCCTGAGCCCTGTCCACCGGCTGTCTCTTTGCATCGCTGTCATAAGCCTCGGAGCCCAGTTCTCAGACAGGGGTCCACCTGCTGGAAGCATGGATGAAGCAGCTCAGTCAGGTGGGGCTGAGAGGTGGGGGAGAGGAGGCTGGTTACAGGGAGGGGCCTCTTAGCCCCTGGAGGGAGGGCCTGGCCTCCTGGCCTCCCTTGTAGGCTTATTCTCTGCAGCCACACTACCTCCCCACCCCCTCACCCTGGCTCCATGCTGCCCCTCCTCCCCTCTCTCTGGGAAATCCTCAAGGGGCTGTCTGTGCTGGGCTCCCCAACCCCCAGACTCCACAATCAGAGGGTTCCCCTCTCTAAGCGCCCATCCCCCATGGCCCCACTACCCTGTCTCACCCTACTCCACCCCCTTTCACATATTTTCAAAGCTGAAAGGACCTTAGAGCTGCCCTTTGTGCACAGATCAGAAAGCTTAAAAGTCAAAGGACTGGTCCAAGGTCTCCCAGCTGGTCCTGGCTGAACCTGGAGACCCAGACTTCCTGGGTCCCCACCCCACGTTTTTCCCACCACATGCCTCCTGGGGCTGCCGGTGAGGCTGAGCGGGCTTTGCTCTGGGCTGCAGGCGGCTCCGGGATCCAGAAAAGACCAAGACAGTCCCTCCGGTCCCTGGGGTTGAGCCAGGGTGGAAGCAACAGGACCTGAGTCTTTTCCCACCAATAAAGGCACCGTTTTTCCGGTTCGGCTCTATTTTCTTCCTTCATTGTCTGCGGTCATTTCAGCCTCTCCCAGTGTTGGATTTGCCCAAACTCCCGGTGGCCGTGGCCGCACCAGGAGTGCCACTGTGTGGCTTGTAATTGAGTGGGAGGGCCCGCGTGCCTGTGTGATGACAATGTGTGGTGGCACATCGGTCGGTGTAGGCATCTGTCTGTCTGGCTGTGATGTGACTCAAATGCTGAAGCCCACATGCCCTCCCTCTCCCTCCCCATCTCCCAGCAGCTGTATCCCACCCCCAGGGAAAGAATGTCCCTGGCAGCCGCCATGCCCACCCCAGGCTGGAAGCAGTAACACAGGTGGGGGACACTGTGTCCAACTGGCCCCGTGACAGGGCCGCCCAGGAGGAGCCTCCCCTCCAGGGTCCCCCATTAGTGCTGCCTGCAGCAGCTGTCGCCCTGAGAGACAGGAATGCCCCGAGAGGAAGTGCCTGGAGGCCAGAGAACCAGTCCATGGTAGCCCTGCTGTGTCTTGCTCGGCCCCCATCCAGGGGAGTGGGGCTGGCCAAGGACCCCTGGAGGCCGGGGCTCCATCACCTATGCATCCCTTGTGCCCCCTCGACAGATATGTCCTCAGCACCCACAACATGCCAGGAGCTGGGGCCCTGCCAAGGAGTTTGAGTGCAGGCGAGTGGAAGTTTCCACACTAAGCCTGCGCTGTCCGGGAGGAGGGTTTCTCCTGGAGAAGAGTGCCGTGGGTATGAGAGGTCCAAAGTCCACTGCACTAAGGGGATAAAACCCAGACACCTTCCACTCTTGGATCGGGATTGTGAGAAAAGCCCAGGAACACAGTTTTGGTGATAAAGAGTAAGGCACCTGTGGGCTTCGGGGAAGGCAGGGTGACATGTGCGATGGGTGTTCAAGGATGGGTGGGAGGCAGTGGGGAGGGTGTCTGGCAGAGGCACAGCAAAGGCCAAAGTGTGGCCGTCGGGAGGGGGCGCTTCTGGCTTAGTTGTGGGACCCCTTGAGAGGCCAGTACGTGCCAGCACATAGATGAACATCTGTTTGTGAGTTGCGGTGATTCTGGGGAGAGGGTCTTGGCCAGAGGTAGTGGGGCAGAAGACTTCAGGAAGGAGGCGAGGACCGGGATGGGGGAAGGGAGGACGACATCCATGAACCCTGGAAGGCCCTGCACTCCCTGCCTTGATCCCGAAGGCCAGAGGCCCAGGGACAGAAGGCCGGGGAGTGCTATCACTGAGAGAGCCGGGCCCCTTGGCTTGCGCCAGCGAGGGTGCACAGGATTTAGACTAAGGAAACAACTCGGTGCCTCTAGGGAAACCCAGGCCTGGCCTCGCCTCCTTCTGGTCCCTCTTCTTCGGCCCTGAGGGAGGCCCTTGTCCCTGTACCAGCCACATCTGTGGGGCATAGAGCTGAGCAGAGGGCTCATTTTGCTAGGAACTGTGCTGAGTGGGGTTGTCCTTGGGCCGTGGTGTCCTCATCTACGCACCGAGGGGCTTGCGCTCTGTGGGATCTCACGTTGTTCCAGCTTACTTGCCAGCCCTGATGAACTGATAAGGCTCTGTGGAGGATTGTGACCCCAAGTCCAGGCTGGGAGCGATAGAGGCCTTGATCCATTAGTAATGTCTGCTCTGGCCTCCTGGTGTGGGCGGTGGTACACATGCCTTCCTACCTCCCATCTTCACTCTCGCGGCATGCCATGTTCTAATGGGGGGGCAGAGGGGTGGGGGGGGAGAACCAACCTTCTATGAGAAGTGATTCTCCCAGGATTTGTGACAAATCTTGTGTGTGTTCCCCCAGGGCAAACATCTAGGCGGAAGACAGGCATCTCCAAGCATCTCCCACTTGTCTGTGAAAAATGACATGGCTACAGTTTCGTAAGGAAGAAGAGAGAGGGTAAACAACCCCAAATCTGAGTTCTTGGTCCATTTGTTTTTCTGGCATTTTGATAAATTTGCACCTGGCTGCATTTCCGTATAACTAATACGAAGAAACGTTTCGTCATTGTTGTTGCTTTGTTTGTTTTTTGTTGAAACAGAAAAAAGAAATCCATAAATATCATCAAGAAAGAAGAGACCAAGAGAAGTTGATGGGTTCTATAACTGGGTTTAAATAGAAACTAAGATCTTAAGAACTTTAATCAGAAAATAGAATACGTTGGTCACATACGTGTATATGTTAGTGTTCTTGTGTTTGCGAACGTGGTGTACGTGTGTAGTGCGTATTGATGCACAAGTTGGATGTATGTTCATGTGCGTGATATAAATGTGGCATGAATCTGTGTGTGTTGTGTGTGTGTGTGTGTGTGCAGTAGGATATCTGTAGGGCATAGAAATGTATGTTTGTATTCTGTGTCCATGCTGTGGGGGGAATTACGCAGTGTGCATACTGAATACAGTAAACCTCAGAATGGTGTATATGTGTGTAGGGGATGTGTACATCATATATGGGTGAGGGATCTGTGACGTGTGCATTGTGGGTAAGCACATGGCATTCTTGCTCCGTGATGCCCTGGCCTTGAGCGGGGCCTGGTGATGACGTGAAGTAACATCAGAGTTTAAAATAGCTCCCTGTGGAGCCCAACAAAGACTGAGAGCCAAGAACCTTGAGTCTTTTTTGGTGCTTGCTATTCCGAGGGAAATCAGGAATTGCTGGAGCCTGTTTTACCTACTCTGAAATCCAGACAAGGAGAAAAGTGACTGGCGTCTTGGGGAGACCCAGCCACTAGCTCAGGAAGGTGGGCTTAAAAAGCTTACCATTTGCAGTTTCCGAGAAAAATTCCTCACCAAACTTTTCAGACTTTTTCTCTCCTTTAGCAAAGATGGGAAAGGGTTCCTGGTGGCCTTTTCTGGGGAAATCGAGCAATTTCCACGATGGATTTGGGACACTCTTTTCCCCCTTTTAAAGAAGGTAATCCTGTGGTAGCAAAGGGAAGGTTGACAGACATCTAGAGCTTTCTGCACAGCTGTTGATAGTAAAAGGGTTGTGTCCCCCAGCGCATTGGAGGTCACAAAATGCAGCCAGTTAATTTGTTTTGACTGTCTTCAGGCAAACTGTCCAGAGGATTTCATTCCCCCAGGCCCCAGGGGTAGAGTGGGGAGTGAAGACCCCTTTGCCCTGTGCCCTTGCAAAAGTCATGGCTCCTTCTTGTCAAGAAGGGTTATGGAGCGGAGCCCTTCCTACTACCTAGGACTGTGGTGTGAGCCCTGAAATGACAGTCAGGAATGTTTCTGCTGAGTGGAAGGGACGGTCCCCAGGGGCAAGGTTGTTCCTGGCACAAGGCCTGCCACCTAGTAGGTGTCCAATAAATAGTTGTTGAATGAATGAGTAGCCCAGGAGGTGACCATCCAAGAGAAACAGCCTGGTTTCCCCCCACGGCCAAGCAGAGCTTCCAGGGCAGGACTGGGGGCGGACGTGGCCGCCTGTCCAGCTGTTGGACTTCCCCTCCTCGTTTCCGGTCCCTCTCCCAGAATCTCAGCTGGTTCCCACACCCTGGCTCGGGGGCTTCTGCTGTCATTGTTCGGCTGTTCTCAGGGCCCGGCCTCTGCCCGACTAGACCTTTCACTGGGCCAGGAAAAGGTGTAGGACAAGGCAGAGCAGGAAGGGGAAGTTTCAGGGACTGATGCGGGAAAGATTCACAGTAAGAATGGGCTGATCTGCTGCAGCCTCAGGTGAGAAGCCAAGGTTTAGGGAGGGGTAAGGACGTTCCCAAGTTTAGACGGATGGTGCTGGAATAATAATGATCATCGGAATTATGGTAGTAGTAGTATCGACCATATATGGGATGATATTTTGCGAACTAGACTTTCCCCCAGTATCTTCTTGCACTCCTTAGCTCTGCCCACTTCCTGTAGCTAGTGTGCTTTGAGGCCCACACGGAGAATGTGAGTATTTGCATGGCCCCTGGGGTTCCCGAGGGGACCCAGTGACCATCAGCTTTAGGACTCCACGTGGGAAGCCTGGCCTTGACCTCATAGCATTGGTTGCCTCGGGGAATAGGCTAGACTTGTTGGATTTTGAGTTTCAAAAGCCAGTCTGTAGGACTTCCAAAATAAAAAATGATCGTTGAAATTTAAAACTCAGTGGGATAAACAGAGCTGGAGAAGGAGATCTGAGAATTCACCCAGAAGGCCTCACAAAGAAGTAAATAGTGGAAAACGGGGAAGAGGGAGAGGTAGAACGGTTAGAATGAAAAGGTCCAACCTATGCCAAGTAGAATCCCAGGAAGAGAGATTGGAAAGAATGAGGGGCAATATTCAGAGAGACGATGGCTAAGAAATCTCTAGAACTGAAGACAGAAATCAGTTTTCATATAGCAGAATCACACCAAGCTCCGGGGCATATCACGGGGCAATTCCAGATCTCCAAGAGAAGCCTTCCTGAGCCCCTTGCTTCCCAAACCCTTCTCTTCTGCCGTCTGACAGCCCTAACCACAGTGACTTTGCATCTGCATTAGTACTGCTTCCATTCGCCGTCCTTTGGTGGGCAAGTTTTGCCTCCTCCATGAACCTGGGAGCTTTCTGAGGGTAGGAGCCCTTCTCCTAACCCCAGTCCTGGGGAAGGATGGCAAAATACCTGGTCAGAGATCTAGTTAGAGTCCTGGGCCCATAGCTCAACTTCTCCTGTCTCAGCTTCTTCATCTATAAAAGGGAATTAGAAATACCTGGACAGAACATCCTGAGATTTACACGTGGGGTGATTTCCTGCCACACTGTGTTCCTGTTCTGTTTAATCTACAGCATTTTAATGTCACTATTTTTATTTCTAGATTCCGCTCCCCCCCACCCCCCGGGCCAATTCTGCCTCTTCTTTTCTTTCTCTTCATATATTCATGGAGAAAAAAAAAAAAGTAAAAACAGAAAGAAAAAAAAAAAAGGGCGCCTGCATGGCTCAGTCGGTTAAGCGTCTGCCTTTGGCTCAGGTCATGATCCCAGGGTCCTGGGATCGAGCCCGCATCGAGCCCCTCAGCAGAGAGCCTGCTTCTCCCTCTCCCTCTGCTTCTCCCCCTGCTTGTGTGTGCTCTCTCTCTCTTTGTCAAATAAATAAATAAAATATTTTTAAAAAGGTAAAAACATACAATCATGAAGAACCATAAAGCGTTGGCTCTCAAATCTAGTTTTAGCAGGAGAGACCTTTCATCAAATAAAAATATATTGTTGGAGACCCAATTCCAGCAGAATAAAGGAATTGCTGGTTGAACTGGGGTGGGTGGGGTGGGATGGAGACCCAGAGTCCAGCTGACTCATTTCCCCTTTTCCCTCATACCACCCCTGTGGCACCATGGCTGGAACAAAGTTAGAAAAGCACCCATCAAAAGCTTTAATGCAGCGTTCCCCAAAATGTGTGTCTGGGAGCCCTACTTTATGGTGTCCCATGAAAAAGGCGTTCTGTGGTTGAATACATTTGAGAAACACTGGATTAACCAAAGTGAATTGAGTCTCTACAGGATTTCTTTGAGAATTTAATACTCACACTGTGCACTGGGAGTCTTACAGAGGGTAGCTGACGTGCTGAGTTCTGCAAACCTACCTGTTTTATCCAAGAATTACCCCTGTAGGGACCCCTGGGTGGCTCAGTCGGTTAAGCGTCTGCCTTCGGCTCAGGTCATGATCCAAGGGTCCTGGGATCAAGCCCCACATCAGGCTCCCTGCTCAGTGGGGAGCCTGCTTCTCCCTCTCCCTCTGCTCCTCCCCCTGTTTGTGCTCTCTCTCTCTCTCTCTGACAAATAAATAAATAAAATCTTAAAAGAAAAAAATAGAATTACCCCTGTAGGCTGGTGTTGTGCAGAACACACTAGGAAAATGCTATATTGGAGAATAATAATAATAATAATTAATAATAATTTTTCCTATGTCTCCCTTCAAGATCTATAGGGCTGGACACTGAAATAGGAGGTGAGGCAATTATTACTCTGGATTGAATATGAGCTTTAGTCTTTTGTGACCCCCCCCCCCCCATTTAGAAAAGACCCGTGGGAAGCCCAGCAATTTCCAGGCCTTCTTTCTTCCCGTCTCTGTTCTGCAGCCACAAACACAGCCTGGCTGGGCATGGACATGGGTGAGCCCCCGTTCCACCGGTCAGTTCTTCTAACACCTCAGGCTGGGGCCCACTTTTGTCCCAAGGCTGAGCCGGCCCTTTGGCCCAGGCAGGAGGCCCCAGAGCCCCGGCTTGGCCCGTGAGAGCTCTGGGAAACCTTGTTCCCACTTGCCCACCCCCTTCCTGGCAGCCCAAGAGGCTGCCCAGGCTTTTCTTTCCTCTTCTTACTGGCAGGAAGAATTTCTGGAAGCACGGCTGAACCAGTGACAATGAAGCAGGATGCCCGTCACCCTTACCAGCCTGGCCGCACAGGGAGAGCACACCCACCCCCCACCCCCCCAGGGCTGGGGCTCACAGAGGTAAGCCTCCTTGCCTGCTCGGCCCCACCTCGGGCTCTAGGAACAGGACAGGCCCCTGCCCAGGGCTGGAAAGCAGGGGCAGGCGCCCTGGAGCGTCTCTCCAGAGGCCAAATCCCACGGTGGGTCTGTCGGGTCTCTCGCCCCCAGCTTTCCCCTCTTCCTTTCGTACCTTGAACAGACAGCAAGGGGTGGGGCACCCCACTAGGTGCTGTGAGGCAACATTGACCAAAGCAGATCTGTCTCCGGGGGGTCTAGAGTGGGGTCAGGTGGTCCAACACGCAACTTGAGAATGTCGATAAAACGGCTTCGGGCTTTGACAGGCACGGAGGCTGCGGAAGCATCTAGTGCAGTCTGGGGATGAAGGACCGCCTGCCTGGGGGAACACCGTTTATTATTAAAGCCGCTTGCCCAGCTTCAGGGCTGCGGAGCCACAAGGAGCTGAGACCCAGCCTTGCTTTCAAGGACTCTCCTCTCTGTGTCATTCTGCGTTTCTGGTCTTTCCCTCTGAGCCTCGCTCCGGCTGGCAGCCTCTCCCACCTTTCTGTCTCCAGCCCCACGTCGCCCTGACTCCCTGTCTTGTGCTGAAGAATTGCTGTTCCCAGGACAGGTGAATAAATACTAGGAACCCAGCAGACCCCTCCGCAAGGCCCCCTGGCCTGGCCTCCCACAGCCTGAGGCCCCGGGGCCTCAGGGCCCCTGCCCCCACTACACCCACCCCTTAGGCCGCTAGCTTGCTCTGTTTCTCTCCGTGCTGCATTCACTACTAAAGCCACAGCCATGCCCCTCAGCCATCCTTCCTTGGGGGAAGTTGGGCAGGAATTTTTGTCCTTTAAAAAGTTGTTATTGTCTGAGGGGAAGCAGCCAAAGAAAGAGGCGTGTTATCTGTGGACTGGACTTGGCTGTCCCTCATAAACGAATGGGCTTTCCAAAGAAAGTATTCAAGGGGGGTCCGGGCGGAGGGAGGAAGGGCCTGGGATGTCTGTGTTTCCCTTAGACCCACAGGGTCCTGATGCCGCAGCCACGTGCCTCAGCTTGGGCTCCTGGAGGGCGGGCGTGAAGGTGCGGAGACTGGGGCATTGAAGGTGCAGAGACCCTGCCCCATCCCCCGGGTCCGAGCAGCCCTCAGGAGCCCAAGGAAGGTCTCGGGATGTTACAGGGACCAGTGTCCCTTCAGGCCCGTAATTCTCCAACTCCCTCCGACCCCACGTACATACCAGGCTTCTTGCCCCCTGCCTCACCTTTGCTCAGGCCGGTCCCTGAGCCTGGAGCAGCCTTTCCATCTCTTCACTTACCAGTGTTCACCATCCTTCCTGGCCCAGGCCTGGTCGCACCTCCCAGCAGCCTGCCCTGACTGCCTGACCCCACGCTGGCCTCTCCTCCCTCTTCCCTGCCCGGCGGTCCCTCCATGGCCATGTGCCTGTCACTTCATGGGGACTGACAGCTCCATGCTCAGCCCACACAGTCACAGCCGCTGTGGAGGAGGGCCAGGGTGGCAGGATGATGGACGAGGCTGTAATGGCCCCCTTCCCCGCTGTGGCTGTGGTTAGATCTCCCCTCGAAGAAGCCCGATATTTTCCAGGAATTTCCTGAGGGGAGGGGACCGAGTATTCCGGAATGAGAGCCAGCTGTGGAATTGAGGCCTGGGAGTGAGGAGCCGGGCTCAGGGCTTCCTGGCTGAGTCAGCGGACCGTCCCCAGGTAATTTATGGGCTGAGTCAGGGCTGGGGGCCACAGGGGTGGGGAGAGCATGGGGGAGTGGGGAAAGGTTGCGGAGGGGAGGGAGGGTGCCTCTAGGCAGTCTGTCACGGGGAGGGCAGCCTGACCGGCTGGAAGGGAGTCTGGCTGAGTCGGGCACAGACCCCCTTCTCCCCCCCAGCTTTGCTCCCTTGCCTGGAGTCTGCAAAAGCCACAAGCCAGAGGGAGGAGCCAGAAGATGGATATAAGGCTGCAGAAGGGGAGAAGCCTCTGGCCGGCCCTGGGGGCTCAGGAAGATAGAGGAGGCCAGGCTGGAAGTGAGTGGGCTTGGGCAGGCGTTGGGGCTGAGTTGGGGGTGAGGAGAGCCACTGGCTCTAGCATCAAGCCTGCGAGCGGCCTGCTCCTCCTTCCTTCCTGGCCCGGCCCCCTTTCTCCCTGCAGCAGCCCATCTGGCTTCCATTCAGCTCCTGCCGTGGACCTGCCGGGTGCCGTGGGCTTGGTGCCTCCTCCTTTCCGAGGCTCAAGTCCTCACTCGGACAAGAGGTCCTGGCTCCTCCAAGCCCTGAGGTGGGGCTGCTAGCCGTAGCCAGGGAGTCCCGTCCAGGGCTCAGCAGAAGCAGGTCTGGGAGTGCCGCCAACTAAGGCCCACTGCAGGCCTTGACCTTGAATGGAGGTGGGGCTGGGCTAGGAGAGGGGCCGGGGGAGGTGGCGCCTGGTTACTGTCACCTGCAGGCCCGAGGAGCCTGGGGAGGCAGCACAGCGTGTGCCGTCTCGCACGTACACCCCACACACCCCACGTTCCCAAGAAAAGCCTGTTTCTGTCCGTCTCACCCAGCGCTGAGCCTGGGATCCCATTGGAAGACGGCTCCTGACACAAGCTCCGAGGAGGAACCCTCTCCTGCTGGCAGGGCGAGGCAGAAGTGTCCCCCAGGGGAGGGGACCCAGCTTTCCCTGTCATTCGCGTGCATCGTCACACTTGCGGTGGCAGAATCATCCCACGGCAGATTCCAAGCAGGGCAGGGTGCTGCGGGGTTGGGGCTCCCCTGGCCCTGGTCTCGGCATCTCAGAGGGGCCCCCAGATTTTTGAGTGTCTTGCCCTGGCTCCCAACCCCAAGTCCCCATGCTGAAGAGGAGCCCCTGCTGAGGATGGTAGAGTTCGCAAGCCCAAATTAAGACACGCGATCTGAAGAAGAATCTGGGGGATTTGTGATACCATGCTAAAGATACAGAAAAAGGAATCTCATTTTGTACGTGACTGAGGAACTGCTTTTCTTGGTAAGAATAGTCATGAGGAAATCAAATCTGGACAGAAGGGTTCTGGACACATATGAGGGTCTGCGACATGTAGCTTGACCCCGGACCAGTCCCACCCCCGTCACCAGCCGGTCCTGTCAGGCCCCCGTTGGGGAGAGGTGGTTGCATTCTGGAATCAGTTGGAATCCAGCTGACAGGATTCTCTGAGGGAGGGGACATGGGTCTAAGAGAAAAGACACAGGGACCACTCCAAGGTTTTGGTCTGAGCAACTGAAGGGTTGGAGTTACCACAGACTGAGACAGAGAATGCATTTTGTTGTACATTTAACAGATTGCTTTTATTATGAAAGTCCAGAAATTGGGAATGGATGGAACTGAGCAGGGCGTCTGTGGGGTCACTGCCCACAGGGACCGCTGGGTCATTACACCCCCTACCACAGGCCTCGGGGCTCCCACGAGGCCCCGGGGCAGAAACGGGGAGGCTTACCTTCCTGCCTCCGCTATGGGACGGGGTGTGGGGGGGGCAGCGGTGGGAAAGGGTCTGACCCTCCCGAGTCCCTTGGGCTGGCACCGGAGACCCGGGGCCCGGGAAGGCGGTGGCGTGTGTGGGCCTCTGTCCACACAGACCCGCCTGTGGCCCACAGAGGCCCTTTCTCCTCAGACCTGGTGCACTGTCGCCACCAGCGCCTTCTAGAGGAAGCATCCACAGGAGCCCAGGACTCTACTTTGATTCTCCAGCCACAAACCCCTGCAGGCCTGGCTGGCCAGAGGCGTGCCTGTGCATCCCGGGAAGCAAGCGCCTGGGGACTCAGGGCCGGAGAGGCTGTGAGGATGGCTTTGTGCGGCCGTTCAGGTGGGCCCTGCCAAGTCCCCCTGCCAGGAGAGGCCAGTTTGGCTGCCAAGCCTCCTGAACTTAGGTTACCTGAGAAAGCGGCCTTAAAGCCATCTGTTTCTCGTTGCTTCGCATGCCGTAGGCCTGCTTGCCCCAGGGGCCAAATGCCCTGTTTGCCCACATCAGCAGAGATGAGGGACGAGAAGACAGCTCTGTGGGAAGAGTCAGGAGGACCAGTCTTTGTGAGAATATAGGTTCCTAGGCACCTCTCCGGCCCTGCGGAATCTGTGTCTCTGAATATTTACCAAGCTCCCCTGGTGATCCGATGAGGGTCAGGGGTTGGGAGCCCTGGCATAGAGGCTGCGTGCTCTGCACGGTATCTGGAGAGACACCACACCTGAGGAGAGTCAGAGCTGTGTCACAGAGTTCAGCGGGGTGGGTGGGGTTAGGAGGAGTGCTCTGGTTGTCTGAACACAAGAGAACCTGGATCTTTGACGGGCCTCAAGGGGGCCATTTGGGAGGTTGGAGCTGGGATTAGAGTGGGCCCGAGGTGGAGAATGGGGCCTCCTCGGGCCCCCATGGGGTGCCCCCTGGAGCTGGTCTGTATCTCGTGACCTGCTTGCTCCTTCTCCCTGTAAACTCTTAACCCCGATCTGGAGGTGATCCCCAAGGGTAGGGCTCACCTACCCAGAACTACATTGAATAAATAAATGTGCTCTGCCCAGATTTTATCTCTTCAGGATTCCAGAGCACAAGACAAATGGCTTCATGTCCGGCAAGGAGGTGTAATTCATCCTCTGAGGTGAGCCCCAAGCCTGGGGGTGGGGTGGGGTGGGGTGGGGAGAGGAGAGGTAGATGGTTTGGAGCATGTGGGACATGCAGACGTGGGGGCCAGCAGGCCCTGGAGCTCTGTGTGCAGGGCTCAGCTCTAAGCCCTTCAGAATAACCCTGCCTTCCCAGGGCTTGTGCAGGGATGGAAACCAAACCTAGCATCCTTTAATTTAAGGAGTCTATTTCTGATTCTAAGAACACTTCGGGACATAGAAATAAGTTTATAGCACAGAAAAATGAAAACCTATTAAATATATAAAATAACCTGACTTTGGAAATATGTTGATTCATTAAAAATGTTGCAAGATTATACCCCAAAATATTGACTGGTTGTAAGATAAAAAGTAATTTCAGAGTTTTGGTTTTTAATTTGGATTTGCTTATCTGAATTTTTAACTTTTCTAGAAGAGTCATGCACTTATTTGTACACAAATGACACAAATATTGAAAGTTATTGTTGTTATTATTTCATAAACCAGAGCCTCTGAGATGTAGTTCAGGAAGGAGAATTTCTAGGCAGGAAAGACAGCTGGATCAAATAACCCTAGCTGTCATCTGCCCCCCCCTTTCTTTGGGTCAATTTCTTAATTTTTACCACCTTCCCATGGTTGCCCCCCCTGGGATGCCACTGTCCTTTCAATTCTCTGGACCAAGCACAGCTAGAAACCCAGGCTTTGGCTTCTTTTAGCAGAGCAAGTCTAAGAAACCTGGGAAGACGTACCAGATGGTGTTACTAAACCCAGAGGGAAGAAAACAGGAACAGAAACGCAGTGCCTGGAAGAACTATGAAACCACCAGTTTTCTCCACGCAAGGGTGTGCAGTCCCACCTCCCCTCTCAGGTGGGACCCACAATGACATAGAGGGAGAGAACGCTAGTCCTCGGTCCAGGCGCCCCCAAGCCACAGTACTCATTTCAGAGGACTTAACGCCTTACACACATAAAGGCTCCCAGGAGCTAAGAAGCTTCCAGACTTGAAAAGTAAATGAATTTACTTGGTATGCCCAAGTTTTTCTTAACATCATTGCACCCACTATCTGCCCAAATGAAGGCATGATAGGGAATCAGTGGATTATTAAAAATCACTGATCACATTGAAAAATGGGTGGCTCAGGGGCGCCTGGGTGGCTCAGTCGTTAAGCGTCTGCCTTCGGCTCAGGTCATGCTTCCAGGTCCTGGGATCAAGGCCCGCATCGGGCTCCCTGCTCAGCGGGAAGCCTGCTTCTCCCTCTCCCACTCCCCCTGCTTGTGTTCCCTCTCTCGCTCTGTCTCTCTGTCAAATAAATAAATAAAATCTTAAAAAAATAAAAAATAAAAATAAATAAAAAATAAAAAATAGGTGGCTCAGTCAGTTGAGCATCTGCCTCTTGATCTCAGCTCAGGTCTTGATCTCAAGGTTGTGAGCTCAAGCCCTGAGTTGGGCTCCATTCGGGGTGTGGAGCCTACTTAAAAAAAAAAAATTAGCATTTAAAATTGTAATATGAATACAGATTCATCATAAAAACTACTTGAAAATTTAAAAAAATGAAAATATCCCATAATCATCACACTGAATGGAGATAAACATTATTGGTGTATATACACATTTCAATAAAATCAGGAAAATATTGTGTGTATATGTGATATACACACATATACACACATAAAATTCTGATTTTATATATGGATATAAGGTCATTTACACACACATATATAAAATTCTTTTTTCCATTTAAAATGCATCATAAGAATTTTCCTGGATCTTTGAAAATAAATTTTAAATGGCTGCATGCTATCCCATTGCATGGCACACTGATTCTTAAGCAAATCTCCTATTGATACCTAAGCTATTTCCAAATCGTTGGCTATTATAAAGAATAATTCAATAACATCATTGCACGTATATCTTTGTATACATCTCTGATTATTTCTTTAGGACACATTTCTAGGAATAGAATTACCAAGTCAGGGACATGAATGTCTACAAGGTTCTTGGTGTCTCCAATCAATGCATACTTGTTAAATTGTATGGATTTGAACAAAGTAGTAAAAAACTCCAGAGCAGCACTCTACCATGTTCGCTGCATGTTCTCAGACCCACAAAAGGTTCCAGGGGGCCAGGTGAAGCCCCTCCATCCAGCCTGTGGGACTGTCCTTTGGAACCCGGGCAGAGGCCAAAGCCAGCAGTCCTTGGTGCTCCTTGGCTGGGCCCCGCCCCTGTTGCTGCCACAGGGCTACTTCCCTCAGCTTCTCAGAAACACCCTAAATCCCGCTCAGAAGCCCCTCTGTGAGGATTTCCTTCCAGCCCATTGCCGTGGCCCCCTGGGGAGTATACAGGGTAGGGGTCACGGTCACCCACACCCTCTTCAGACAGGGCATCTGAGGCCTAGAAGCCAGCAGGATGCGAGAGTTAGGACAGGACCGGGGATTCAGAGACAAGGCTCTAGGTCTCACTCTACCAGTCAGTGTTGCCAAACCACAGAGGGGCGCGTCCCGTGGGAAAGTGGCCCAACACAACTGGAGGCAGAGGCCCTGCGAGGAGGCTGGGATCCACTGGAGTCATTTTCAACAAATATCTATTGAGCATCTATCATGTATAGTCACTGAGAAAATAGCGGGAACCCAAGAGGCAAAGCTCCTGCCCTCAAGAAACAGCATGCTAGTGGGGGAAACAGGTAATAAACCCCAAGAATCGTGTCCAATGGGGTTTAAATGCTGAGAAGAAAACAAAGCAGGGACAAGTGGATAGAAAGTGACACAGAGGGGTGGGTTACCTTGAGGTAGGATAATTCACATAGGTCTCTCTGGGTTGATACTTAAGCAAAAGCCTGAGGGAACAGAAGGAATAAGCTCTGTGAGTTATCTGGAGGAAGCCCTTCAAGGCCAAGGGAACAGCAAGTACAAAGGTCCTGAGGCAGGAGCAAAACTGGTATGTTTGGGTAGACGTCAGAAGCTGATATGGCTGGAACAGAGTGAATAAGGGACAGTGTAGGGACTGAGGTCACAGAGCTAGCACCATCCCCATTAGATGCGGGAGCTCCCACTGAGCCACAGGCATCAAGCAGGACACAGTCACCTGTTGTCAAGAACCTTTAAGGTTAGGGCGCCTGGGTGGCTCAGTTGGTTAAGCGACTGCCTTCGGCTCAGGTCATGATCCTGGAGTCCCGGGATCGAGTCCCGCATCGGGCTCCCTGCTCATCGGGGAGTCTGCTTCTCCCTCTGACCCTCCCCCCTCTCATGTACTCGCTCTCTCTCATTCTCTCTCTCTCAAATAAATAAATAAAATCTTTAGTATATGTGCTGCCGAAGCGAGCACAATCAATAAAATCTTTAAAAAAAAAAAAAAAAAAGAACCTTTAAGTTTAGGGGACCTTGCTGTGGCAGAAGACAAGAGAATAGCAGAGGACCGGGGCAGGCTTTTATCACCTGATCAGGTGTTTATAGCAAGGCTGTGAAGAAGGAGGGTATGATCTAGAGCTCTGTCCCACCGTGCTGGGTGCCAAGTGTCCAAGGTGGACCAGGCCACAGAGCTGCCTCCTAGAAGCTCACAACCCCATGGGGCCAACAGGTGGGCGGGGCTAACAAGCTGGCAAGGAAATCCTGTCATTTGTGACCACACAGCTCAACCTGGAGGACATCATGCTAAGTAAAATAAGTGAGGCCGAGGAAGACATGCCCAATCCGCATGATCTTACTTAGGTGTAAAATCTAAAAAAGTCCAACTCATAGAAGCAGAGAGTGGGATGAGTGGGATGGAGGTTGCCAAAGGCTGGGGGGTGAGGGAAATGGAGAGATGCTGGTCAGTGCACAAACGTTCAGTTAGAAGGTGAATAGGTTCTGGAGATCTAACATACAGCATGGTGACTACAGCTAATAATTCTATATGACGTGTACTTAAAATTTGCTAAGAGAGGAGACCTCAATTGTTTTCACACACACCCAAAAAGGAGACTGTGTGAAGTGATGGATATGTTAATTAGCTTTGTTGTGATCATTTCACAGTGGTCATGATCTTGGGGTCTGCGAGATGGAGCTGCATGTTGGGCTCCAAGCTCAGCGAGGAGTCTGCTAAAGTTTCCCCCTCTCCCTCCGCCCCTCCCCGTGCTCTCTCTCTCTCAAATAAGTAAATAAATCTTTAAATAAATAAATAATAAAATTAATAAAAGCTGGTTACACAACATCTTGTGAAAAATAAGTGCTACACAGGAACTTTCTGTACTTTAAGCTTAATTTTGCTGTGAACCTAAACCCACTCTAAAAAATAAAATTCATTAATCGAAAACAAAATAAAACTGTAAAAACCAAGCATATGGCATGACTGACTGAGAAGACTTCCTGGAGGAGGTGATGTCTGAGCTGGGCCTTGAAAAATGAACAAGTGGACCAGATGTCAGCAGGCAGGGAAGGTGAGAAATGCACTTCAGAGAGAAATACTGGTTTGCTGAGGAGGGAGCAGGGGCACCCTCTGGCAACTGGATATTGGGGTGTGGCCTTGATTTGGGATTATCACTGGGACAGGACCAGCCCTGGAAAGCAGACAGTGAAAAGAGAAGAGGGTTGAAGAGATAACGCTGGGGCATACAGCCTCACTGTTGGTGGGGTAGGGGGGCACTGGGGAAGGGCTGAGGGAGACAAGAGGGGGGTGAGAGGAGACAACACACATAGGAAATTTGAACTAGAAGGAGGGGAGGACAGATGCATCTAGAGGAAGACTCAGCCTGGCTGGAGACAAGTTGCTTTTAGGATTTTATTTTTGTCTAATCCTGTTGTGTCTCCTTCCCTCCCTTCTCCCTCAAGCCCAACAGGGAGATTAGAAACATAATCTATATTGTCGATTCTATAAAGTATTGCTTCCCCTCACCCCTGACACCCACCCGCCCCAGCGCTTTGCAAGCTATGCGAGTCCAAATCCACATTTTTAAAAGATTGGTTCTCATTGTATTTCCTATGGCCGGCTCTCCTTTAATCACAAAACAGAGCTTATTGTATGATTAATTATTCGAGTTCAGATAGTGATGCCCAGGTTAGAAAGGTAAAGATTTCGTTCTCACCCTCCTCTTCCACTCAACCCGTTCTGAAAAGTTTCCTTGTTGTGCAACTGATTTTAGCTCTTCTACTGCTTTTATGTGTAACTTCATTTTTTCCCCAGCTCGACGGAGAGATCATTAACAAGGGATCTACATTTTTAAACCACAAGGAAAAGAAACCCAGAGCTACCAAGAATAATATTTTATTGACTTGGAACCAGTTTTGGAATTTATATTTTTAACCAACTACCCAGGTGATTTTGATGATCAGACAGTTTGAGGGTTTTTTTTTTCCCCCTCTTTCTCTTCCCTTCAGTAAACTGTTTTTCAACTTTGTTTTTCAGTGAAAACCATTTCCTCCTCACCATGGACTCCATCCAGAGGCTGCACCCATCTCTCCCACGTCAACAGTCCTGTGTCCTTGGCAGAGGACAGTGCTCTCATTCTGGGCCTTTCCCTTCTTCCTCGGCCAAAGCCCTGCTCCTGCACCTCCCCGCAGCTAATAAAAAGGCTGAGTTCCCCGATGCGGGGCAAGCTCCCACCCGCCGTCCCTCGCAGGGAGGAGTGAAATCTGTGGGGCCACTCTCGTCCCCATGGGCAGCTTTCCTGCCTTCACATGTTCCCAGAGCAGCTAGCTCATCCCAGGCCTCAGGACGTCCCTGGGCCTGGGGTGAGATCCAGGCCCGACCACCTTCCAAAGCCACACGGTTCTGAGGGAACGTGCAGACATGCAAGAGTGGGGTGTTTCTGGACACTGAGTAAAGAGAGTCTCCCCGTGGGAAGGCATGGATTGATTTGGGACAAAAGGCACTTGTTGGCCCCAGAAGGCAGGGTTTGGGGGAGCCCTGTGCTAAGCGGAGGTGGGTGGGCATGATTCTCTCCTCTCCTGGGATCAGCCCCTCCGGCCAGTAGCCACCTGCCCAGCTGTAGGAGACGTGGAGAATGAATTTCAGAGTCATTTCCACTGGGCCATGGCACCGAAACAGCTGCAGGAGGGGACGCAGCTGGCCCTGCCCCCACCCGTTCCAGCAGAGCTCCTCTGGAGGAGCGCCACCCTCCCTGTGGGAAGGGAGACCGTCCTACTTGCTGCGGTCTCAGGGGCCAGGGAAGGGGTCCCAAAGCGAACCCTCCTTTTTTGAGGGTACAGTGTGGCCTTTATTTAAATAAAATCCCAGCACCACTTATTCTAGTGGCTCTTAAACCTGGCTAAGCATCAGGATCACCCAGGATGTTCATTAAAAAGTAAAGATTAATAAAAAGAATGCGCTTGGGGACCCATCCCAGACCTAATGAATCAGAATCTCTTTGGGTTGGGCGAGGGCTCGGGCTAGAAGCAGCATGAATCCTCCATTCCAAAGTCTGAACCCATAGAATGGGAGCATGGTGAGGGAATGGTGGGGGTTCAGGTGACAGAACCATAAAGAGAGTCACCATTCCCAGGGATCTCTATGTGCCAGCCAGGGCACCAAAGTCTTCTCACACAGTCATCTTACTTAGTGGTGCAAACACACCTATGAGATATGTCCAGTTATTTTTTTAAAGATTTTATTTATTTATTTGTCAGAGAGAGAGCATGAGTTAGGGGCAGGGGCAGAGGAAGAGGGAGAAGCAGACTCCTCACCGAACAGGGACCCCGATGTGGAGCTCAATCCCAGGACCCCAGAATCATGACCTGAGCTGAATGCAGACACTTAACCGACAGAGCCACCCAGGTGTCCCAAGGTATGTCCAGTTATTGTGCCCACTCAGCTGATGAGCAGATGGGAGCTCCAGAGGTCATACGGGTCGTAAGAGGCAGAGCCAGAACTCCGATCCAGATCTTTCTCTGAACATCTCTGCCATGGAAGGAATCTTGGGAAACCTGGGCACCCCCTTGGGAGTTAGGCCAGTATGAGACCAAACTGTGACATGAACACGATGTGCTTTCTGGGCGCTTGTGTCTGGTGGGATCAGGTCCCCCGTGTTCATTCCCTTCATGTTCGTTCACCAAGCCCTTGTGGACACAGAGGTGGCCAGGACAGGACCACCCTCAGGACAGGTTGGTTCATGGAAAGGGCATTGGGCTAAAAGCAGGAGAGGGGACTTCTGGTCCCAGTGCTAGCACCACAAGCTGTGAAAGCAGCCTCAGCATCCCCTCGGCAGAGCTCAAAGGGCCCATCCGCTTTTCAAAGGCAGGCTGAGGAGCCCAGCCCCGTCTCCCTAATGCTGTCCCTTTCCCACTCTCAGCCCCTCCAGGGCAGTGGCCTTCTCTTGTCTATAGGATAAGATCAGTCCCTCATCTCGATACGATAAGCTTCTCTGTGGGGTGCATCAAGGAGGGGATTTAGCCTCCCCAGACTTCAGGGAAGACTTCCTGAAGGAGGTGGCACCTGAGTCAGAGCTATCCAGGAGAGGAGTAGAAAAATAGCAAGCAGTGGGAACGGCATGAGCCAAACCATGGCTGTCTCTCCCTGAATGGTATGTGCAGGGCGACTCAGTGTTTTGGGGTTTGCAATGCAGAACCACCAGCCCCAAGAAGCCCTCCTGGCACCTTAGGCAGCCTCATTTGGCTTCCACAGGGCTCTGGGGAACTCCAGGGACCAGTGCCCAACACACCGCTTGGCAGGGGGTGTTTGCATGGTTGTCTCCCCACTGGTTTGTCACAGGCAGCGGGGGACTGACCATTTCTACCTCCACATCCTGTGTCTGACATATGTCAGGGGAAGGAAGGAAGGAAGGAAGGAAGAAAGGAAGGAAGGAAGGAAGGAAGGAAGGAAGGAAGGAAGGAGGGAAGGAAGGAAGGAGGGAAGGTCTGGCTCAAAGAGGCACTTCACTCAGGAGGCCTCTGAGGGCACCGGCCTGACCAACTGGGTCCTGTGGGACTCCCCGGGCTGGCTCAGCATTGTCCCTCTCTTGCTCTTTTAAGTCCTGGTTGTAACTGGGGTGGCCTGAGCTCTGGGAGCTGGATCCGGTGGGGACAACTGCAGGAGTGGGTTCCCACATCTCTGCCTCTCCCACTCAGGCATTTGAGATACCTACCCAGGGTCCTTGAGTTGGGTCTAGGATTCTTGTCCCCACGTCACAGGGGGGCAGTTGAAGACCCCGCCTTGAAGAAAGGTCCAATTCAGATCCTAAACTAAGTTGGAGCTGGAGGAATTCTTCACAGGTTGAAGATGCCCCTCAGGGGTAGACACCCCCTCAGGGTGCCAGATGCAGGGTAGACAGGGCTTCCCTTCTGACGAAGCAGAGGAGACAGCATGAGGCCTAGAGACTCGACAATGAGTGGAGCCAGGCCCATCTCATCCAGAGCCCAGTAAGGCAAAGCCTCAGTGTCCTGACATCAGAGAAGAGGCCAATGGAGACTGAGCCTCTGAGCTACGGCTGAGGGCCACATGCTGAATAACAGCTCCCAAACATGGCCAGGTAATCCCCAGAACCTGAGAATGTTCTTACATGGCAAGAGGAGCTTTGCAGTTGTGGTTCAGTTAAGGCTCTTGAGATGGGGGTCCGCCAGGGGGGCCCAAAGTAATCACAAGCACGGGAGACGCAGGAGGGTGAGAACAGAAGTAGGCAGTGTGTTGACAGAGCAGAGACTGGAGTGAGGCCCTCTGAAGACGAAGGAAGGGGCCACAAGCCAAAGGACACAGGCAGCCCCTCGAAGCTGAGCTCGGCAAGGAGACAGAGAGCCTCCCAGAGCCTCCAGGACAAACCAGCCCTGCCAACACCTCGACGTTAGCCCAGTCAGACTGAGCCTGGACATCTCACCTAAGAACTGTAAGAGAATACATTTGTTTTGTTTTAAGCCGCTTAGTTTGTGGTGATTTGTTCCAGCAGCCACAGGAAATCAACCTTGCCTGGAGACACAGGGCTGAGTCTGCTCCCATCCTGCGGCCCAGCTCTATGGGATCCTTGCCCCATGCTGGATGGGACTGGGAAAGCGGTGCAGGTGACGCCCCGAGGGGGCCCAAACACCACACTTGGTAAGATCCCGGGCCTCTGAGAGGGGTGTGTGTTAGAGAGAAGGGATGCACATGCCTTCTTCATACATCAGGGGATTTTTCTGGGCAGACGATTCTCCAAAGGCATGTCAACATTTTTCTCTCCAGAAAAAAATAACTCAATCTCTATCCAAAAAAGTCACAGTTGTGCACATGCACACACATGGACGTGTGGGTCCTAGACAGAAATGAACTACGCCACCTACTCCAGGGGTCTTTCATTTTCACAGGGCAGGGAGCAAAGCTGAGGAGGGCCGGGCACTATCAGCCAGAGGGCTGTGGACACACTGTGACATCTGGGACGGGACAGGGGCATCCCTGTCCCTGAGAATGTTGAGATTGCCCAGCACGTCCCCAACACCTGTTTTTCTCTTTCCTCCTTCCAAGCCCAAGCGTAGATACCTATGCACAAATCACACGGGCACCCGCAGACCCATGGGGTCATGAGCAGGGCCGGTGTGTGCAAAGCGGAAATGAGCAAACACACACGTCCAGCCCAACTACCCAACAGACTTACACACAAGCAGTCGTGTAAACGCACCGGCAGATACATACAGACCCAGATACACGCCCTTTACACACTTACATACACCCACGTTGTGCACCGAAATGCGGACACAGCCACGCAGGAGGGAAGACCGCCCGCGTCTGTGGGCACCTGGACCCCTGTGAGCCACGTGCAAGGCCCTGTTCTTCCTGTACCTCTGTTTAGGGAGCTCGGCCCGATTCCTTTCCCCACCCAACCCTCCTGAGCTCTGCTCTGGAGCCCTCTGCTGGGGAGGCCAGGAACAGGCTGCCAGGTCCTGGAGCTGTGCCCGCCGGCGCTGGGGGTTTGGAGGGAAGGGAAATGAGGAGAGAAAGGGGAGCAACGGGGGGCCAGCCCCAGGGTGCTCGGTATCCTGCCTCCACTTGACCCAAATGACTTTCTGCAGCCTCCGATCTAGGGCTGAAGGAGGGATTTCTCCTGCAAAGATCCCTCCTGTGGGGCGCCTGGGTGGCTCAGTTCCTTAAGCGACTGCCTTCGGCTCAGGTCATGATCCTGGAGTCCCGGGATCGAGTACCGCATCGAGTCCCGCATCGGGCTCCCTGCTCGGCAGGGAGTCTGCTTCTCCCTCTGACCCTCCTCCCTCTCATTCTC